GGGGTGAGCATTTAGCTGTGCGTGGTCAGCCCAGCCACTAGAGGGTAGTGCAGAGACAGACGTTGCCGTTGGTGTCTCTCTGGAGGAAGCAGGGCGGTCATCTATGGAGGCCATGTAGTGAGTGAGTGAGTGAGTGAGTGAGTGAGTGAGTGAGTGTGTGTGTGTGTGTGTGTGTGTGTGTGTGTGTGTGTGGGGAGGCTAAGCGACTGGGCATAAGGCAGTGTACGCTATCGCAGCTCCGTCAACCTCCACTCCCACGGCATTCACCAGCCAGTCTGCCAGCCAGCCATCTCTGTTGTGCTTTATTCTGCGGGCTCGTGTTAGACCAGGAGGCATCGTTAAGCATCATGCAAGATGTTTTAACATGCAGTGACATTTCTGCTGGATGCCGTTTTAATTCATGTAACTGTTGTCTTCACGTTCTGATCCTGGTGATCAGAGATGACACACATTAAATATTCAGAAGCTCCAGCGCATTAACATGACTTTAATGTAGCTTTTACAACTCTGTCCCTGTTGTTTATTAATACGTGCTGGTTTTAGTCTTGATTTATTTCTTTTTTAATTAATTAATTAAATTAAATCATTCATTTTTGGGGAACACTGCATTTTTTACGTCTGTGAAGGAAATAAATTAATTAAAATGTTTTAGAAAATTGTACTTATTTATAATTAATAGGATTATTGTTATTATTAATTATCAACCGACAGCCACTGCGATTTCTATATTCATACAGCTCTTACTATGGTTTGGAGAAAAAAACATCTCTTTCTATTTTTACCTGGTTAGAGATTGAAGGTCAAACAAACAGTGATTAATATCTACTTCTTCACTGATAAACCTTTCCGTTGTATCACATGACTTGTGAATTCTTTGTATATTATTATCAATTACAGGGAACAGTAAGATGTGCCACAAATTTGAGGATGTAAAAATTCTTTGGAAGCAGATAAAACTGACCTCTTACTTCCACTTTGCAGAATGTAGAATTGTTTCTTGTGTGTTATCTAGTAAACGAAATGGGTCAAACACGATAGCGTCGTAGCATCCCTTGAGTGTAAACACGAGTAAACCTTAATGTATGCATGCTTCTAAAGACACACAGTATGTCTGCTGAGGAATCCAAAGCTTAGCTGAGTGAGTGCTGCTCATATCGTGTTGTTGACCCTCGCGGTGGGACCAACCAATGAGGCCTCGTGTGTCATCGGCGCCCTTGGCAGTCATGCATCTGTTTAACGTGTCAGACGCGGGCGGGCGTCAGCCTAGTGTGTTAGCCTGTTAGCTTAGCATGCTTGAGTCATGCCCCTGTCGCCATTGCCTAATCAATAAAGGGAGAGGGCAGTGACGTCATGAGAAACAGACGACGGAGATGCGACGTCTGCCGCAGTCAACATGAGTCTCAAATAATATTTAAAAAACAACAACGATCGACTGTGGAATGTAAAAACCTGTTGGTATCATTTAATGTGAACTTACTTGACAATATGTGAATTGATCTTTTTTGGTAAATCATTGATAATTAATTGATCAGAAACCCTAAAGCCTGATAATCATGACATCAGTGTCCATCCTCCCTCTCTACTACTTCTATCATCTGTTAGTCCAGACGTTACGCTCATGATTATGAACGTGAACACCCACCTATTGGTGCTCTTCTTCAGGGTCTCGATGTCCAGCTTGCGGAAAAGGAAGCCCTCGTGGTGCGCGGTGTGTGCGGGCGGCTGGGGGACCGCCGGGCTGCTCTGGGCCGGAGCGGACCTGGACCGCCGCGTAGTCTCTCCCGCCTCTTTGGGTCGCGGCCGACGCCGTGGTTTGGGCCTGTCCCGAGCTCGGGGTCGGTCGAGACGGGAAGGTTTCTCCGGTACCCCGTTGGGCAGGCGGGGCACCTCGCCACGGGCCTGGAGGTGGGGGAGGGGGATGGAGCCAGTAAAGATTTGGTTCATGTTTCAAAAGTAATTGAGTCTTCTTTGGCCTTTCGTGTCGGTACATCTGTTTTACATTTTCATCATCTAAAGCATGTACGTTCTCCCTGTGATTCCTGCTGACGGGTTATCACGGATCACTCTAACCAGTAACCCGACAGTAGCATCCAATTCACATGATACTGTATGTTACTGTGACCAACCCGCTGCCTGAAAAGACAACATCTGCTCTAGAGGTGTGTGAAGACATTGTAATCTGATAAGCAGTCATTAGAAATTGTTTGCAAAAGGGTCAGGCCCTTTCAAAAAGAAGAATACTCTGCGGGTGATTGGATGAATCGTCTGTCAATCAAACTCTAGCTGAAGCCAGTAGGGAGAAGAGCATTGACCAAAACCTTTAGTGGCGTTCTTTGTGGGCCGGACACAAGCGTGTTACTTGAAGTCTGACAAAGCCAGACTTTTCTGGATCACAAGATCACTACCTGCGGTCTCGAGATCCAGAAAAATCTCGCTTTCATAATCGCCAGAATCCAGCTGCTGTGCTAAGAGATGTTGGGCACTGTTTATTTTCTAAGATGAGAGTTTCTCAAGCCAATGTAGGAGAGCATGTGAGATATTCAAAATATTCAAGTGGAGACACCCTCACAAAGAAGTGTTGTGAAAAAATAAATTCTAAACCAAAACCTGGAAAGAACTCTCATTTAGTGGTGGGACAGTCGGTATGTTTTGGTTTTTGTATTGTCCCGTGTTAAAAAAAACACCCAGATGAGCTACAACATGCAACAAAAAAAACACTGTGAGTTGTTGCACACATTGAATTTGGATGAAATGCACAGCACATAGATCTACAGACCTGTGCTGCTTCTCTTTCTTGCAGCTGCTCTACAATCTCTGCCATGGTGGATCTCTTTTCTCTGTCGAAAAATAAATGCAAATTAGAGAATCACATAAAGTAGATTCCATAAAAAACTTAATGTTTGTCTTGCTTTGCTTTCCTGCTAGATTATCCAACTGTAATGTCACACATTTGTCTTTTTTTTAATGACAGATATTTTTAAAGTGGAAATTAATTCCAACTCCAAAAAATTAATTAGGAACATCTCTTGAACAAAACTTCCATTCATATGCTGTATATCCAGCTCCTGGTGTCCCCTGAGAATAGACAAGCACACTGTGTGCTGCATAACACAGCATGACCTACAAGACACCTCAGTACACTCAAAGCCTCACCCTCCTGCTGAGCGTCTGTCTGAGTGCTCTTTCCCGGTGTCATGCTCACTGGATTCCTGTCTGTCCAGCCGGTGTCGGTCTCTCTCTCTCCGCCGGCCCTCGTGGCCCCCCTGGCCCTCGTGCTCGCTGGACGTTTGCCTCTCCAGCGTCCGTCTCTCCCGCCTCTCGGCCTGTTCCCTCCACACCTCTTGAGGCAGCTCGTCCCTGCGTGCCTGGATCAGCTGCTCGCTGGACAGCTGCCGCTCTATCTTGTGCTCCCTTTGGTGGCCGTGGGTCTGGACCTGGGGCTCAGCCTGGCCCAGCGGGTCGGTCCTGGACCCCCGCGGCCCTCTGGTGGGCTCGCTGTGCAGGCGCTCCCTGCTCGGAGGCTCCTGGAGCACCACCTCGGCCATCACAGCCACCTCCGCTCTCTCCGTCCCTATCTCCCCCATCATAATGTCTCTCTCCCTCTCCCTCGCTTTCTCCAGCCGGCTGGCCACGATCAGCGGCGTCACCGCGTCGTCCAAGTGTTTGATTTTGGCTTGCCGCAGATACGGGGACGTTTTTGCCTCCAGCGTCCTCGCCGCCTGCGCTGGATGGAGGTGACTCATCGGCTTGGTCGCATGGTCTCTCGCCGTGCCGACGCTCTCTCGCGCCTGGTTGGCCGAAACCAGCATGGCCGCCGTGGCAACCGAGGCGATGGAGGATGGCGCGGGCTGGCCCAGCCCCACGCCCACGATGCCGTGTCGTGCCTCCAGCGTCTGCCGGTAGCTGGAGCCGTTCATCACAGGGGTGTAGTTGGCGACCATCGACCCCAGCCGACGAGCCACGGACGAGGGAGAGGGTGTGGGCGTGGCGGGCGACGGCGAGGGAGGGGAGTTGGCTTCGTTCTGCTCGTAGATGGTCTGCCTCATGACGGGGGAGATCGGGAGACGGGGGAGGTTGGACGCACTGGGCAAGGCATCTAGAGGGTCCAGGAAGACTTTGCGACCCAGAAGAGGAGTCGGTGGTAGTTTGCTTTGCTCGGCTTTCAACTTTTCTACCTGCAGAAAGAAAATGGAACAAACTTTAAAATCAAATTTTTAGACAAAGCGTCACTGAGGGTTTTGACATGAGTGAATGATACTGAATATTTGATAGAAACATCGCTCCCCATATTGGAAATCCTAAGCTTTTAGCAAACAATTATAGTATTATGGATCGTACAACTTTTCAGCTAAGAACTCCCTCTTACTGTTAATGTCTTCACACAATGATGATGGTGAGGATGATGATGATATTACCGTGGTGAGTCGCCGTAGTGAGCTGAATCGCTCCTCCCAGGTGGCGGCGGCTTTTCGGAAGGCTTCGTGTCGACGGATCAGCTGCTCCACCTCGTCTACACTAGCGCCCAGCTCGTTGCTGCTGATGAGCGGCTCCTGAGCGGTCAGCCACGCCTCCGCCACCACCGCCTCCTGGGCAAACTGGTGAACCTCCAACACTGAGGGGAGGAGAGGGGAGAGAAATGATACCCGCAAGCAAGTGAAGAAACTTCTATTTTACATTCTTCCCTCAAAACATTATATGTGTATTTCTACTTTATATGTGTATCTCTGTGTGAACATTTATGTTTATTTATGAAAGATAGCAGGTGTGTGTGTGCGTGCGTGCGTGTGAGTGTGTGTCGGACTCTAATTTGTCTTGGTCTCCGGCGAGGCTATTGAGAACTGGCCAAGTTGTTCCTGGCTGCTGATTTGAGATCAGTTGGCTGATTCTACCAGCACAGTGTTTCCTCTATATGCACTCAACAGCAACGTGCAAGAAATGCAAGGATGAGAGATGTGACTAGATTATCATAGTTTATAAAAATGCATGTCAGCGGTGATACAGACATTTCATACACCAGACGCGGACCTGCCGATGTGCATTCAACCCACGCTGGTCTCTCTCTCTCTCTCTCTCTCTCTCTCTCTCTCTCTCTCTCTCTCT